CCAGAAGATCTTTGCTATCTCTAACTTTTACCTTTAACTTAATAAATGGTGTGATCGATTGCCCTACGCTCCTAGAGCAGGTCAACTTCAATGATCCTCTAAGGAATCTTCGCAGTCCTCTGCCGTTTTATGGAGGAAATTTTAAAACGGAGTAGGCCAGAAATGCTCCTATTTCAAGAGCTTTAAACGAATTTAACACGATCTCGAATTCTATCGACCTGGATTTCTCTTCCAAAAAGTTTATTTATTTTTTCTTCGATTTCGAAACTGTAGAGTGCTTTATGTTTTACACGTATCGTCTAAGTAGCTAAATTTTTATCTCTAGTCTGTAAGGAACGTCTGTTTCATCTGACTGCAATAAATAAATAAATAAACAAAGCGTTTAAAAATGATTTATAAATCGTAAAATGTTTACAGCAGAATGTCAAAACAATGCAACAGCTGTTCACTTGCAAGTTTTTGCTAGTTTTGTGTTCATTAACTTTTTCTGCTAGTTTTCTCTTCTTCTCAAGTTTACGCTCTATTTTGCTTTTACGCTCTCGCTGCAATGTTTTACTGGAGAAGTTACTATACAAACCTATTATTGAAATGAAGTGGAAAAAATTTACTACACCATTTTCACTGACACTCGCTGTATCTATGTAGTTCAAATACCTATACATCGGTCTGCTGTTTACTTATCACATACTGTGGATCTCCAATCTTGGCTTTGCGCCAAATATCCCATTCTACTGGATGCATTTTCTTCTTATGTGAGTGCATGTTCGCGCTTGAGTTAAATGTTCGTGTACAGAAAGGGCATTTGTACAGAGTTTCCCCTGTGTGCGTTGCCATGTGTTCCTATAAAGGATTATATAAATATAAATTGCCCTTAATTCAATAATAATCTGTGCTTACCCGTAATGATACAGCTTTCTTAAATGTTTTGTTGCATGCTCCACAAGTGAATACTTCTTTAGAATGCACGCATAGAATGTGGCTGCGAAGTGCTCGCCGATTCTTACAATTACGGCCACATTGGTCACATGTAAATATTAGTCCTTCGTCATTGTGGCGACCCAGATGCTGTCGCAGTATTTCCTCATCTTTCAGCCAACTGTCACAACCTGGCCGTGGGCATTTAACTCGAGGGCCAGTGGCTTCAAAATGTAAACGCACATGCTTTTCGAATGATTGCTTATCTCGTATTTCTTTAGCACAGACATGACAAACGTTGACTGCACGTCGATGTCGCATGCTAATGTGAATTTTCAATAGATCATTGCTAGCGAATCGACTTTTTGGACATTGTTCACATACGAAAGTACGCTCGCTTATAGGGACATGCGAGCCACGATGTAACTCCAGCAAATTTTGCCGTGCAAATTTCTTGGGACATTGATCGCATGCAAAATTGAGTCCTTCCGACTCATGTGCGTGCATCAGATGAAATTTTAGAGTATACTGATCGGAATAAACCTTTTCACATTCCTTGCACCTATGACAAATTTACATTTATAAGCGTTATACAAAGTCTGGAAAATGTTCAACACCAATAATAATGTGGATAAACATACTTGAAGAATTCGGGATCATGATGTTTATAAGCGTGCCGTACGATTTCAAGCCGGTCGAACAGTTTCTTATTGCAACAACGTACGAAGGCTTTTATCTTTGGGTGCTGTATTCGAAAATGCTTCCTCATTGAAATATAATCACCACTGATATAAGCACACAACTCACAAGTCATTTGGATGTATTTTTTTACCATATCATCGTCTTCTCTTGATGTCTTTACGCTAAATGTTTTCTTCCCTTTATGTTCGTGCTGCAAATTCTCTTCTTTTAGCATTTGTAATTTTTTAGTTGATATTTTTTCAATTACATCGTTTCTTACATTTTCTAAAGTAAAGTTGGCTGAATACGTACTACCTACAGGAAACAAAAGTGTGGATTATAACTTTTTTTATAAGTTTTGTTACCTCCGGAATTCCCAATAGTTTCTGCACTTGTATACATAGAAACATCGTTTTTTTCTAAACGAGTCCTGTTCGTCACTTCATCACATTCTACTTCGCAGAAAGGGTTCAGCTCGTCAGTCAGCCTTTTGCTAGCTTCATTACCCAACAAAGGAGTTTTGGAAAGCTCTTCTTTAATACTCAGGATGGGGTCAATAAATTCGTTGTCCATTTCATTGAAAGTTTCCTTCTTGAAGTCATAACTGGTGAGTGTAGCATGTCTTTTCTCTACTGTTACATAAAATTCATGGAATTCATTAACTTTCATCCAGCAAGCGGAACAAATAACCAATGAAATGTTGTCATCTGGATCGGGCTACAAAAAAAATCTCAATTTCAAAATACCAAGGACATTTCTACGAAGCATACCATAAACCAAAAGTGGCGTCCGAGTATATCAGCAATTTCTAGTTGCAATCCATTCTTATCGAATATATATAAGAAAGAATCGGAGTGTTTTATACAAAGTCTGCATAACATATCAAAGAATATCTATTTTGCAATGTAAAATACAGTAAATTTACTTTTTTTCTGGGGTTTTATGTTACTCTACCTAGAGCTAGGAATGTAAAAAAACATCAATATATCGAGCAAAATCGATGGTCGTGGCTTCAAACATCCGATGTTCGTCGATGTTTTTACGAATGCGATGTTAAATCAAAACATGGGTGTTTTAAAAAACATCGAAGATGTTTGTTGACTAATTTTTCACGATTTCATTTTGTGCGCGCTTTAAAATTTTGTGCCAACATTTAATAGCGATTAATAAGTACTTTAGTGGAATCATGCCCAAGTATGTTTCTTTAATAACTTTTCATATTACATTTAATAAATATTCATATATGTATACGTGTGGTGTAGTGATAAGCAGTGCGCGCTTTCACTCATCAACACCTGGGTTCAAGCCCTGGTCAAAGCAACATCGCAAAAAATTTAGAAAAAAGGTTTTTTCTTAACAGCGGTCGTCCCTCGGCAGGCAATGGCAAACCTTCGAGTGTTTTTCTGCCATGAAAAACAGCTTCTCATAAAAATACAATCGCCGTTCGGAGTCGGCGTAAAACTGTAGGTCCCTCTGATTTGTGTGACAACATCAAGGCGCACGCCACAAGTCGGAGGAGAGGCTCGGCCAAACACTAACATATGTGTACGGGCCAATCTATTATTACTATATAATGTGCTAGACTTTTATAAAAAAATTATAAACACAAAATAAACAAAAGAAAAAATAGTAAAAACTAATCCAAATGTCACTAAAATTAATCAGCTAACCACAAGTGTATATATCATGACGAAGGTTTAACATGAACGAACGAATAAAGATCACCCAGCACGGCGTGCGAGAAAAAAGTTATTTTTTTGCAGTGACGTCATTTTTTCGCCGCCATGTGAATAAAACGGAATGAAACCTGTGTGTGAATGAAAGAATCGATTAAAA